TCAGGACAGAGGACAAAATCAGAGGATGGAATCAGAGGACAGAATCAGGACAAAGGACAGAATCAGAGGAAGACGTTCAGAGGAGGATTTCCCTGCAGCAGCTGGAGAAACCAACACTCTCCTGAAACACCAGAGTCGACTGGACTGATGAGGGACAGACGAAGACCAGGACCAAAGAGTCAACAGGACAAGGTGCTCACTGTGCATCAACACATGATCAAACCAGCATCATGTACTGTACACAAAAACAAACATATGTAAACGAGCAGGTCTCACACTGTAAATCTCAGTTCACTCACTCAACTTAAATGTTTATTGGAAACAGCTGCACTCAAAACTTTAGTTTTGTACAGTAACATGAAAGTTATCAGTTCACCTGACACAAAATAAATGAGTCACCTGACCCTCGTCTGACTGGAAATTTATGTCACTTCAACATGACCTTTTTAATCACACAACAAAGTAATTTGTTTACAAATTACATTTGATTTAATTAAACATTTAATTATATGTTATATCAACAGAAAGTTTACATGTTATATGACTTAAAATTATGAGGTTACTGAACTATGTTTAGTCAACACAAATAAATGAATGTGTCATAACTTAGTGTTTTCATGTACAAACAACATCATATGTTGGGAGTTTAAAGTCAAATGAACATAAACCTTTTCATCACTCAGCTGAATCCCAATTCACTCACTCAAAGATTCATTGCACAAAAACTTTCCAGTACAGTAACGTGAAAGTTGAGAACATGTGATACATGACCCGCGGCTGCCTTGAGATGTTTGTCATTTTGACACAAAAATTTCAGTCAAATAATTTTTGTTTTAATAACATAAAATTAGAACTGTATCAGCTTTATAAATTAAAGTAAAATTAACTAAAAAATCATTGACTTAGCATAAAAAAAATCATGTCCACCTCACAAGGGATGAGCGTTTGTTAAATGCACATAAAGTTTTTATGTCATTTTGACAGTCTTGAACATTTGAATAGATTTAACAATAAACTTTTACGTGACAGTAGAAAGCATCATGTCTCATCAGTCATGTGGTAGATTCTGTTGTTTTTAGTGACTGTTGTAGCTGTGTCACATTCAGAATTTCATTTTATAATTGAGTAAAGTTTTTTAGTGTAAATAGTTTTGCTCTGTCTTTACTTGGTTAATAAAATTATAACAGTTCAGACCAGGAACAACACAGATGATATTTAAAACTTCAGAATAAATGTCCAAACTACAGACGCTAAATAGTCTGTGATAAACAGCACATCATGTTTCCTCTTGTGTTTGTTAAAGTTAAAATAATCCATAAATAATAATGGTTTGACTAAAAAACAAGTTTTACACGTTCAGCTCAGTGAGGCCTAAAAAACTACGAGTTCCAGAGAAAAGAGAAAAACCTGTTGATTTTAGAAATAAAATGGTCTAACTCAGCGTCAGCAGGTTGTTATAGATTCATAATAACGTATGAATTGTGTGAACACAGAAGCTGTGACATGAAAACGAACAGCCAGCCTGAGGAGTCGGTGTCAGCCTGGTTCAGTCTCAGTCCACTAACTCTGCTAAATCTGTAGTTTCCACATATGGACAAAGAATTCCAATAAATCAGCTGGAATTATTTAATTGTGTATTTCAAATAAAGAAATCTATAGAGTTTTAGCTTTTACATTTTAAAACAAACATTTATTGTAATAAAACACAAAACTGGGCTGAATATAGATTAATAAATCATCCACTCTGATTATATTAATATTGAAAATTCACACTAAAAGGTTTTTAAAAAATCACACATGGGGAATTATCAGTGAGCAGAAATTTATGATCTGTAATCATTCTTCTGTCAAATTAAAAATACTCATTTATCTTTATTGGTAATAAGTTTGAAGTCTCTGTGCAGCTGACACCACGTACAGTCTGATATTTTTCTATTACTTTAATTAAATTTATTATTAGAATTTCCTGTAACCTGACAGATGAAAACAGTCAGAGGAATCAGTCTTTGAGTCTTTCTGCTGTTGAAATGAAGTTATCAGAGTCACTCGTGTCTGCACTGATTCCTACATTTCTAACAGAAATTACCTCAATTACTACAAATAACTAAACTAATAATTAGTAATTACTTTATAATAATTAAGACTTATTAGAGCTTGAAATTCTAAAGAGCTGAACTTTTTCACATCAATAAAAGAAACTTACATATTCTTTAGCAAAAACTATTTTATTCTCATTACTAACCCTTGATTGGATTTGATTTAATTTGATTTAATTTGATTTTAACACATGAATGAGCTTTTTATGATTCATGATTTGTTTTGGTAAAAAGTTTCTGATTTTTATATAATTTAAAAAACAATATTAATAATGATAATACACTATCTAGTCTGTATCTAGTTACTCACTTCCATTTGCTTCTTGTCTTGACTTTAGCTACTGGATAAACACATTTATCAATAGAAATAGAAACAAGAATTACATGTTTCTAATTCCAATTATTTTGTTAATATTCCTTCAAAATAAAAGTGCATGATAACTCAATGTTACAACACCATAGTTAATGTTAATGTCAGACAAAAATAGATCTTTTATAAAACCATTGTTCACAACAGCAGCTTTATATTTCAAATAAAAGAATAAAGTCTGGGACCAGTTTGACAGAGACTGGTCAGACTGGTCTGTGTGCTGGTCCAGATCAGTCTGATGATAATACAGACTGACAGAAACATTAGACACCTTACCCCCAGACTAACTCAGGTCTAAGACCAGTGTTACCATGGTAACAATCAATGACACCTGAATTGTCCAGCAGCACCCAACAACAAGAAACAGGAAAACATGGCTTATAATTTGTGGTTTGCTAACGTTGTTATGGAGAGGGTGAAGAGAAGGGAAAGAGCTTTCAGAGACGGTAGCCATTTTTTTCCCAAATCCGAATTTTTTCATTGTTTCACTCTTCCCTGAATTTCCAAAGTAAAACATCCTTGCAGCTGTTCAACTCTTGTTAAACACAAAAACTTTCTGCTGAGGTAAATAGAGTTGAGCGGTTGCTCAGTCTGCCATTTTTTATTTGCAAGAAAGTCTTAATTACCCAGAATTCATTGTACCACAGTCCGGGATACTAAACTGCTTTGTGTAACAGATGAATTCAGACTCAGTCTCTCTGAAGTCTGACTGTTCTATCTGAGACACAGTCAGAACCATAACCCTCTATCTGAGACACAGTCAGAACTATAACCCTCTATCTGAGACAGAAACTGTCTCTGTGGAACCAGGTCCTGGTCTCAGCTGCAGTCACACCGTCTCAGGACATAAAGCAGAGTTTACACAGAACAACAACAACAACAACAACAAGTCTGAAGTGTGACAGATATCACTGGTCTGTATGAGACACAGCAGCTTCAGACCAAGACCGCCTCAGACCAAGACAACCTCAGACCAAGACAACCTCAGACCCGTAGGTTTCTGGTGCAGGACAGGTGTCAACAGAGACTGGAACCAACACTGACAACACACTTCAACAGCAGCGGGAACCATGACACAAACACACAGACTTCAGCTGTGCAACAACAACAATAACAACAAACCAACAACAAATCAACAATAAATCTACAACAACAAATCAAAGACAACAACAACAAGGAGCCAGTGATCTGCAGCCTGTTTAACACTCAGCTCTGACAGGACAGACCTCTACAACCACACTGAGAACCAAGAACCAGACTGAGGATCAAACTGAGAACCAGATTTAGAACCACACTGAGGATGACACAGAGGATCACACTTAGAACCACACTTAGACCACATTGACTTCAGGTGTTAAAAGAAGCTGCAGAAGAAAATCTGAATCTCTGCCTAATTAGTTTGCCTGAAGTTCCGCCTCCATTTTGCTGCTTTATTGACAAGTAATAATTGTTGTTGATCAGCCTCTGACTGACATCAGCATGATCGATACCTGCACTGGATGTCAATGCGACACAGTGTATGGAGTAAAAGTGAAAGAGCGTGGCGGAGTGTGAGTGTGGCCGCTGCGTGGTTCGCAGTTTGGGGAGTGAGATGCTCGGATCGATCCGGACATGTTGACACCGCTCTGGTGAAGTGTGTGCAGCCGTGAACAGGCAGATCCATGTGAATGCAGACTGAAGGAAAAGTGACATTACAGCTGAAACCAAGTGCGTCTGTTGCTGTCGGTGTCCATCGCACTGCTGCTCTTATTATATTAAAAATAAAGCCAGTGTGGAGGCTATGTTCAACTTTACTCAACTTTCCCTCATTCTGCGGATCCCCGTGCTCTTTAATGTTCGTGGACACTCACCGTGACACTAATATCACCAGTGACATAATTTATTTTATTTTTTTCTCCAGTACTTGTACCTCCCTTGGTTTTCTCTGTGGTCCCAAACTGGGTACTGATTAACACTAACTTTTTCCCCAGCTCACCCCTCTCTCATAATTTAAATAACCCCGATATTTTAATTCAAGAACTGTGTAACCGTTTACTTAATTTACATCAAACTTACCCCGGACGCTTTAACATCCTTTCTGTTGAGTTTTTCTTCACTTTCAACTATTTTCCGAATTTTTAATAATTTTTTTCTCATATTTTTTGCTAGACGCGGCGGGCCTGAAAATTGTTTGCTTTCCCCTCTTTCGAGCAGCCATTGTGTATGCGCTGCGATGCAACCGCACTAGGATTTAGCCACGCCCATTCGAAGTTCCGCCCCCTTGTGCCTTTTTGATTTGTGTAAGTCGCTGCCACTTTCCCTCCAGTGTCGGTTACAGTCCCTTTCAATAAAACTCAATTTCTGGACTTGCTAGATGTACTGTCAATCGTTTAAAGTTGGTTAAGTCCGATTTACAACGATAGGAAGAGCAGCGTGTCGGCCAGGAAATGCTATTCGCTCGGTGGGCTGTCAGTCAACGTCGTAACTTTTCAGAGGCTCCTATTGGCTGACCCTGCTGTCAGTTGTCGGTGACGGTGTGGGTGATTTTCCTGGTGCGCTGTTGCAACAGCGAGACTGGAGTTGTCTTGAGCATGACAGGGAGGTTGTGTCTTACGGCATGTGTAGCTTAACTAGCTAGCTACATGTAGCATAAAGCTGTCCGCTAGCGTTTAGAAGCAAAAGTTTTGCTAGCATGCTAAAGGGATATAGATGTCAACATCATCTTTGAAGGCAGGAAGCTGCACAGGCCTGTCGGTTATCACGGTCTTTTTAAAAACGGGGTAACCTTCACTGGTGAGGAGACTAGGCGCATGCACACATTCATTAGCCTGGAGAAAAGCTGGCATTTGTCAAAGGTAGGTGTCGTGTTGCTGTATCTCCCTCCACCCCTGAAGCTAGTCCTTCTGTTTTAATGAGAGGTCAAAGTTTCCCCGTTTTCCGTTTGGTGAAATCAGTGAAGGTCAACAGTGTAGTAACGTTACATACACCGGAGGGAGGGGGGTCGGGGGGCTGCGTCACCAAACTCTGTTGAAAAACATAAAGTTTACGTAAGACGTGTTTATTTGTAAAGTGAACACCACACGTCGTTATTAATTAATACGTTTTTCCTATAAAGGAAGAGCAGCTGTTAAATTCGGCATACACTTTAAACACCAACATTAGTTACAATAAAAATCAAAAGGGTAATTAAAGGATAAATACATCAAAACTCAACGTGTTTATAGGATAAAGTGTGAACCTGACCTGTGGCTTTGTGTAGTATAACTTCTAGTAGGGACTATAAATATGATGTATCATAATTTTATATATACATAATTCTGCAGCTGTGTATGTTTTTGCTGAATATAATGTGATGTGTTTTCTCTCTACATATGAGCTGCACATGTGTAGAGGCCTGTCATAAACAAGTCTTCCATAAATCTAAACTATCCCACAGCAGAGTGTTTGTATTTGTGTGATAGATGTGATGTTGTAATTTGTGCACAGAAATGCAGTTAAAAATTGTACATTTTAATAAAAATTACTTCCCTTGTCAAAATTAGAGCCTGATCGATATAGTGGTTATCACAGATACATCAGTATTGGTGTGTATGTTTGCTGACAAGTAACATCAAACTACACATACAATATGTTTGAATTAACGTTAAGGATTACAGTAGAGACGGGACAAGGAATTCGTGACAATGAGGAATGTTCTGGTTCTTGGTCGGCACCTTAAATCCACAGCTGCTATGGTTCCCCTCAGGCTTTCATTTTTACTGCAAAGCAAAATTAGTCAGATCGATCAATCTGTGTTTTATTATCAGGACGCTAGCTGCAGTTTTCCAACAAATATCTATTAACAATATACATCATTATAATATCGATGCTCAATATACATGTAACTTCATGTGTCATCAATTGTTTAGGTTTGTCCAACCAGATATTCACTTTATTGTGAAACTGACATCAGCAAATAAAAGTGTGTGAACATGAATTTATAGAACGTGGAGCTGATTAGTTGTGTGGATACGTCACAGTTGAATGTTGCCTTCATAACAACATATCTGCCAATAGAGACTGACTTCTGTAAATATTAAAATGAACTAATCAGGAGAAGTGTCTGCCTGCACAAACTGAGCATCTTTATGTTGTCTGTCTGTTCAGATCCAAATGGATAAAAATCACAAAAAACTTCGGAATCAGGACAGTAACCCGTGCATGGAGGTAAGATCCCCACCTTCACACTCTGTCAAACATCTGCTGCTGCTGGAACGTCTCTAATCCTGCGTCTCTGTTTCAGGAGAGTGATGCCTCCCATAAGTGTTTGGATGCCTCCAACTACGATAAGAGAATGTGTTCAGCTTATTTCCAGAGATATAAGGACTGCAGGAAGTACTGGGTGAGTGGTTTTTGGGAAACAAAAATATCAGGGAATAGATTCTTCGTGTTCATGCAGCTGGATGAACGTGAACAACATCACAGACCTGAGCTTTGATACCAGCAGCCGTACCTGTGGTTTGTCTAAACTCACCTGTTCATGTTGGGTAGACAGCAAGGCTTCCTGTCCCTGACGCTGCAACAGCCCCTGGTTGATCAGGGCAGCTGCACAGTGAGGGGCAGAAGGGGGTGAGGAAGAAGCAGTGAGTGGCAATACACTTTGATCTGCAGAAGAGTCGTCACCACAGAGGGAACCTTTGGTAGAGAACAGACTTACCTGTCCTTATCTGTGCTCACCTAAAGGTTCCTTTGGTAGAACCATTAACAGCTCTCCACTGGTTTAATGTCACTTCAGTGAAGTCATGACTCACAAGATATTTACTGCAGACTGGTGGAAACTGAACAACAGAGGTGGAGATATGTTTCACACGAGCTGTGTTATGATAACATGATGATGATTTTACATGTTTGTCTCATGTTAATGTAAAGGTCACATCAGCACAAGGTCCTTTACACAGTGACAACTGTGACACAAAATGTCCCTTAATTATCATTGGTTATGTTTTAAAACGTTGTTCATTAAATGAACAAATGATAAATCACAGGTGAAGTCACTTTAGTTGCAGTGAGGTTTATTTTGTATTTTCAGTGTAGTCGATCTGACCTAACCTTAAATTCAAATAGTGCAGTTCTGAGTCATTTAATATTTTACTGATATTGCACAGAGGTTTGTTGTTACTGTAAACTGAACTTCACAGCTCTCCAACAGGAAGTCATCAGAGGAGCATCAGCATGATGCCATCCTGTGGTTGCTGTCACACACACTGACGGATTACAAACATTACTCTAAGACACTGAGTTACTGCAGTTACCTGCACCACCTTGTTTTCTTTTGGAACAACTGCCATAAAAGTATTAACTTGAAAAATATTTATGAACAAATACAGCAAATCATTTTATTTTATAATAATGCATAGATGTGTGAAATGTGTTTAAATAGTTTTTATCTAGATATGAAATAATCCACAGAAGAAGCTTCACTGGGTTTTAAGGAAACAGTTTGTACAGTTCTCAAAACAAAACAGGAATTTTCAGTTTTCATTCAGTCTCAACTGTGAGGCCATAACAATGACATGTTCATCTGAATAACTGAATAACTTCACATGAAGAACTAAGACCTTCGAGCCTCTTGTGTTTGTTTCCATTCAGCACAACATCATGTTGGAGAGGAGGAGGAACGGAGTGAGGCCCGACATGCCCACTGCTGCAGAGAGGAGGGAGATGCTCACTGCTATCGGAGGAAAGCCATACTGAAGACCAGCAGGGTCCCACTGAGACCAGCAGGGTCCCTCAGAGACCAGCAGGGTCCCACTGAGATCCTGTGAGGACCAGCAGGTCCAGGAACCGGGCCTACACACCCTGGTGATGCTGCTGGGTGACCGACACTGACTGAACTGTTCTCAGGTCACACTGAACTGAACATCTGTAGCTGGACTTTTATTCTGAAATAAAAAAGGAAGTATTATTTATTGAGGTTATTGACCATGTGACATGAACTGACATAGTATGAAGTGAATTAAAGAAGATTTAAAGTATTTTTTGTTCTTGTTTGAGAAGTCCAAGGACCTGATCCAGAAAGTGAAACAGAACCTGAACCTGAACTCTGAGATCGAACAGCTGATCAGAGTTCGTTCAGTCAGCTGTTGAGCGTGTTCGTTCTCTGCATGGTGACTGAAGAAAAAAACCATAATCAATGGAGTTTTGTTATTATGATTCACCATGGCAACAGGTAAATAAAGAGCAGAGCCTCCATTTTAATCCAGTAGAGTCAGTCTGTTAAACTCACATTTATTCAGTGGAATCGACTCATTTATCAGAGTTAATGGATGATCTATGATTATAACTTATCATCTGGTCCAGGAACAGCTGAATGAGTTTATTGATCTGCAGCTGAAAAATGTTTCTCAACATCATACTTAATATCTATATTTAATATAATGTAAACAGTAACTGATGCTGTTTAAACAGTAAGTACGATGGCCCTGAAGCTCCACATTCTGCAACTTCAGAAAACACGAGCTGCAGACACTCAACACACAGCAAGTGTTTCCAGGGGACACTAAGAAGTGATGAACCAGGCTTTTAATGCAATGCCTCTAACTTCAAATGTCACAGTTGGGCAGAGTCCCCTGGAAACACTTCCTATGTGTGTGCGTGTGCGTGTTTCAACAAGAAAAGACAGAATAAGTGTCCATATGATTTTGACCATATCCCTTCAATCCCACCCCCTCGTCTCCATCAGTCTCTGGTGTTCGATTTCCCTTGTTCTGATGTTTTTGCATCATCCTGGTTCTGTACATGAATCCAGACCTTCGTCAGTCTGATCAGGTCTCAAAGAAAGAACAGAGATACAATGTTGGATCTTTTTAAGAATTTAGACTGAAAGTTTAAACTCTAAACAGTCAGTGCATTGTGGTCGGTGTTGACATGAAATCTCCTCGTGTTTGGTTGTTGAGCTGCAGTGGAGAGGTCTTCATTCTGACTTTAGATCTGTGATGCTGCAATCTGATGTTACTGATCAACCTGAGGAGTTGTGTTAACAAATATACGTCATGATTGTAGAAAATATATATACATGATATTATTACGTAGTTTGATTTAAATCGGATCTTCACACTGGTTAAATGTGTGAGATGTGATGAGGTGAGTTTATCCTGTAGACCAGGACCAGGACCCAGACTGATCAATAATCAATCAATAATCACATTTCCTGTAGCAATAATAAAGTAAAAAATACCTCAAGTATGAAAGTAATAAATATTATTCGAAAAAAGCATCTTAATAACAGTATTCATAATGCAGCAGACTGGGGGTCAGTTCAAATCCCTACAGTGCATCATATGATTGGTTTATCATTGACGTATCATTGACGCATCAGGTGAAGATGAAGCATCACCTGTCCAACAGTCACAGGATGACGTACATAGGTATTGAAACTGTCTCTCCTCCACACTGTAGTGACTCCAGTGATGACTCACCTGCAGCAGGTAAGACACATTAATAACTGAACATTAATGATGAATCATCGTGGAATCAACTTAAAAAATAGGTTTCTTTATTAAAAATTAAAAAAGGTCAATTATATCCAAAAAATGTTATTTCCCTTTTTAATAACTTGTATAATTTGTTACCTGAGACTGTTTCTCTTTATGTTCTGTAACCTCTCTCTCTCTCTCTCTCTCTCTCTCTCTCTCTCTCTCTCTCTCTCTGTTTGTTTGTTTATTATTTTATTACTTGTATGTATTTTTCTTTACTATCATAATTATTAATAGCATTATTTCTAAACAGGATATGATTTTCTTATAGAACATAAGTAACATGTTTAAGTTTATAATGTATGAAGTTAAATAACCTTTATTCTTTAACATGTCAGTGTTACTTGATCTGTACAACTACAGGTTGTCATGGTTACGTGATTAAAAAAGGATAAAATATTAGTGATGAATGTGAGAGTTGATCTGATGCTGTACAAGCTACTGTTCCTCACTGTTTACCTGTCGCTTACCTGTCCTTCACCAGCCTCAGCCTGACCACAGCCAGTTATCTCTGCTACGACTAACCAACACCTGACCCCAGCCCAGCTAACTCCACCCCCACTGTGACCTGGGGGCGGGGCATTTCACGGGGGCACAGACGTCGTCACCTCGGTCACAGGTAGGCTGTACGTTATTATCGTTAGTAGCCGTTATGTAAACTTGCTAATAACTGTCCTGATTTATTCAATGAGACAATCATTCGTTAGATGAATTTAAGTCTCTTCTTCGTCTTATAAAATACAGTCAACAGGAAGTTCTATTCAAACTAATGTCTCTAAAACAGCGAAGAAGATAGAGCTGAGCTAATGTTGATTACGTGTTATTAATTAGCATTTAGCCTACGTGCTGACGTCATGTTACGCTGCAGGTTAGCTGATTGTCACAGTTGATGACTTTAAGTTGTTACACTGTACTCTGAGGCCTCGTGACGTCATCAGTTAGTTTACAGTGATCCTGAAAACCTGTTAATATATGTAATTAATTATCGTAATTAACTCTGAAACAGTGAGTCCATTAATTACTGAGTCCACTGACAGAAATTCCCCTGAAACATTTGTGAATTTTGTTTTATTAATTACAAATATCAAATATTCTCAGAGTGAAGATGTGCTGCTTCTGTGTTTGATATTATTTTAAAGTGGCCTTTTATAACCACATAGTTAATCAAAAGATTATTGACTGATTAATCAATAATGAAACTAACTGTTAGTTGCAGCTTGTTTCATAACTGCAGGGAGCAAAGAGACTGATGTTACTTTGAGTCTATATTCACCTGTGCTGCAGTGTGAGGTCACTGCATGGACAAGGTGTGGACTCAGGTCACATGACCTGGGCGTTTGCACAAAACACAGTTTTTTACTAAAGTCTGACACTTAAGGTTTAATTTCTCCTTAGCTGAGGGAGTTGCACAACATCTCTTGAAAGGTTTCCTCAGCTAAGGAAAAAAGTTACAAAGTTTACAGCAGTGAAAGAGATTTTACAGCAGTAAAATTCTGCTGTTTCCATGGAGACAGTCGATTTGCTGCCGTTAGCACTTGTGACACCTATTATCTCATCCTGTTGATTTGACAGGAACCTCAACAGGTGAACTTTAGTCACTAAGGTCTTTTGTTTAAGTCCTGAAGGTATGAGACTAAGATAAGGGAAAACCTGAAATACTTACGTGAACATTTTAAGCAAACCTTCAGGAGACTGAAGGTGTTTTGTGCAGCTGAACCAACTGTGTGATGGTTTTTGATGTGACAGAATTAAGAAGGACGTGAACACCTTCAGATCTCTACTGTCACCTGCTCATGGACGAGTACGTTGATCTCTGCTGTTCCCTCGGGTGAGATACAGTTTCCTTCATCCCTGATACTCAGCTAGTCATGCAGGAGTAACGATAGCAAAGATCCACCTGACTAGACTTGTGATGGCCACCTCCGCCCTGTCTCAGACTTCCCGTGTGGATGGCATCACTCATCCTCTCCGCCAAAAGACTGAGGAGTGACCGCGCCCGTCGGAGGAAGATGTACAGGCTCCTGCAGAGGAAACTGGTCTGTGTTCATGTAACAGTTTTAACCATGTATGTTTGGCACATTGATGAAATAATAATAACAATAAAAACTTTATTTATGAAGCACTTTCAAAAACACATGGACGTGGCTGGGGAAAAGAGCCGGGACCTGGAGAAGCAGCAGAAAATGGATTTCTGGACGGATGAAAGAATAGATGAAATGATGAATGACTCATCAATCATCATATATTGCCTCAGCTCTTCCTCTTTTATTCCAGATGTTTCATAAGGTGGGGGTGAAGGCGGGGAGTCTGTGTCGGCCCACCTATGTTTACCCTGAGGAGGTGAAAACGCTGATACGCTCCGTCTTCCCACTGGACGTCTGTGACTACCCCGACCCCTCCCACCACCAGGTGAGTGTGAGTCACTGTTCATCAGTCTGAAATCAGTCAGCTCAGCTCCTTAGGTCAGATGACATGATGACCGTGAAGCAGATGTTCAGTACAGATGTTCAGTGACAGGTCTCACCTCTGGCCTTACATAAACCAGAGACAGTTGGTCTCAGGTGAATCTGGAGGTTAAAAAGATGAATGAAACCTAAGAGTCAGGAAACAATGAAGAGCAGAGGGACTGTAGCTGTGTCTCAGTTCAGGAACCAGAGGACTCAGTCAGAGCGTGGCTCCTGTTGCCTAGCAACCTTGACAACACATGACTTTAGTTTTCAGTCTCTTGGTTTTAGCAGTTGTACCGTTGTTGAGCTGAAACACCGTACTGACATTTAACAGTGTGATCCTCAGACTCTCTGTCACTGTGGTTTACTGACATGTTATTTTCATCACTGGAGAGCAATGAATCATGGGATATGTTGGACCGTGAAGGATCCACCTGTTGGAGCCTTCAGGAGAAGAAGGACGCACCTGAAGGAGTCGTTGCTCTGTTAATCAGCAGTGTGGATCAGTCAGTGTTCTCCAGACCTTCGATGGCTTTTTGTTCATGTGCCTGATCAGTGGCATGCCGTCCTCTAAGACCTCTGATTGGCTGTCAGAGCAGCTAATCAGAGGTCAGCCAGATAGTTTGTTTGTCTGTTCTCTGTTGTCTCTCTGACCTTACACCTCAACAGGTACGTCCCAGTGTAGATGAGCTGTGTGAAAATGATCTTTATTCTAAGATAACCTAATGTCCTGATGTGTACCTGTGTGTTTCAGGTGGTGTATGTCACTACAGAGGATCTACACAGAGTCGACCTCAGCTGAAGTCTGTGTCTCTTCAGTCTGAACCTTTGTATTGATCATGTACAGTTATGGATTAAATTACTGCGTGTATTATTCCTACACAGTGACAGTAGGTTTATTATTATACTGTTATACTATAATAGTATTATACTGTTATACTGTTATACTATAATACTATAATACTATTATACTGTTATACTATAATACTGTAATACTGTAATACTATAATACCATTATACTGTTATACTATAATACTATAATACTATAATACT